CGCGGGGGTCTGGCGGCTGCGAGGGAGGCCGGCTGTGCGCGGGAGCCCTGCCCGAGGGCAGCGCGCTCGCAACATGTGGGTGCCCGGTGCGCGCCGCGGACGCGGAGGCGGGGCCTGTGCCCTCCCCGCTGATTGCTTTTTGTTCCCGCAGGGGCGGCTCCTTCCGCGCCGGAGTTCTTCTCATTCTTCTGAAAGACCGCCAGGCCTCCGGAGCGCGCGATGGACCGCAGTAGGCAGGTTCGAATCTTGCTGCTGAACGAGATGGAGAGGCTGGAGAAGACCCTTTTCAGACTTGAGCAAGGTCAGAGTGCGTTGTGTGATCGCATGTTCGTGGCTGTGACCTTCCTGTTCGCTGGGGGTCCCAGTAAGTCAGGCGGACTCTGCAGTTCAGGTCTGGGGTTGTGTGCCTAGAATGAGTGAGTTCTGGGTTCAAGCTCCAGTACCCAGAAAGGAAAGAAAACCTCAAATTAGACAAAGCTCACTGCGGCGATCTTTCTGAAGCTTGATTTGTGCAAAAGGTGGTGCTGTGTCCCACGAATTTCGGTGTTAACGGTTGACTTAAAAAAACATGTTGTATCTGTCATGTTAGGACAGGAATAAAATAGTTCACTTTCTTTGCGTGCTAACCCTCACCTAAGGTCAAAGCTACATATGTAATCAAAAGATTGGCTGTATTATTTCTGATAGCATTTGTTGTGAAAACCTAGTAAAATGCTTTATAGCTAATTTTGGTTTGAGTGTATCTGTAGCTTTGGTTTTTTATAGCTTACGGTTTCTTTACTAAACCTCTGCATTAACAGAGTACAGCAAAAAGTGTATTTTTTGTTTCCCAAAAGCCTTTCAAATACAGGGAAGGAAAGTTGAGAATATTTTCTTGCCAAATAAAAAATGGAACAACTTTTTTTTGGTTGGTTTATTTTGAAATGTATTTGAGCTATGATTAAACAGATCAAATTATATTTCTGTAAGGTAAATGCATAGTTTCTTAGGCTCTGTAATTTTTCAACATTTAAAAACATTTCACATTTACATTAGTGTAATTTGTGAAAGAGGCTTAACGTAGGAAAAATAAAATTCAGTCCCCTTTACATATGTAGCACATGGACGCTGATAAATGTTTTGAAAGAATTTTATTTCCCTAGTATTTAAAACATTAAAATTTTGAAAAAACTTCAGCCGTCTGCTGTGTCCCCTCCGGCCAGTCCTCCTCTTCCAGCGCTGTTTGGCGTTTAAGGTCATGGGACACTTGCTCCATTTTTGGTTTTCCCAACTCTGCACTTTTCCAGTTTTGACCCCCCCCCCCAAGAATTCCGTCAACCTGGATTCTGTCTTTGGGCTGAATTCTTTCCACAGTTTAATTAAAGGCATATACAATACTAAGGATCCTTTTTTTTTAATTAAAAGCATATACAATACTAAGGATCTTTTTTTTTTTTTTTTTTTTGGTCTTTTTGAGACAGGGTCTCACTATGCAGTTCAGGCTGACCTTGAGCTCATTTTGTAGCCCACGCTGGTCTCAAACTTGCAGTGATCCTCCTGCCTCAGCCTCTCAAGTGTTGGGCTGTGTAGCCTATTTGAACTCACTATGTGCCCCAGGCTGGCCTGGAACTCACGGTGATCCTCCTGCCTCAACCGCCCAAGTACTGGGCTTATAGGTGTGTGCTGCCACGCCCAGCATCATTCTTTTTTTTGTTTGTTTGTTTGTTTGTTTGTTTTTTGTTTTTTTCTCCGGTACCGGGAACCGAACTCACGACCTTGCGCTTGCCAGGCAGGCGCTTTTGCCGCTGATCTAAATCCCCAGCCCCCCAGCATCATTCTATACTGGGACCTTTCCTAGCCAAGGTTGTATCTCATTGTTTCCTTTCATTAGGGTGTAACATCATTAGGGTTTCCCTTTTCATTCCTGTGAGTCCCTCCCCTGCCTGACCTTACGCCCCAACTCCCATCAGTTGCCTCGAGTCTGTTAGATCCCTTTTGTTGTCATTCATCTGGAATGCCATCTTCTTGATGAAGTCTTTAATTTTTTGTCTTCGCTTTGATTTCCAGTTGTGCTTAGTAAATACACAGCAATTAAGCACTGAACAATGAAGCAGTGTCTGAAAGCTTGTTAGTCTCACCGTGTCCAACTAGAGCTTAAGATTTGTGAGGAGAGGGACACTTACACACTTCGTGCTGTGTACAGAGTTAATACTTACTGATTGACTTCCCAAAACTCCAGTTAAAACTGGCAGAAATGGTGAACTCAGTCACACTGTGTAAAGAGGGCCCTGTGAGGCATTTATGGAATAAGAACGAGGTTTGTAAGTGCAGTTACAATTAGTTAATACCAGTAAATTCATCCAAGTGCTATAAATGGGAATGCTACTTCTTTGTAGTAACAGTGTGCTTGTGTTATTTTCAAAGACATTTGTAATGTGAAAGTGAAGTGAGGGACAGTTGGGACAAATCTTTGAGTAGGCTCTTTTTTAAAAAATAAAGGAATCTTTTTAAAGGTAAGGCTTTCACACATCACAGTTGGAAAAGCGAGAACAGAGTATGACACCTTTTAAAATGAACACTACTTGGTGACAGATGTGAGGAAAAACTCATTCTTCATAGTGATTTGGTCACCAAACACTTTTCCATTTTTCTTCTTTTTTCCTTAAAGGAAAAATTCCTCTTTATTTTCAAGATTGAAATTTGTGAAGATATTTAATTCAACAAGTATAGGACTAAGTATTGCTCTTACAAAGCCAAATCATAATCTTGTCCTGGATTTCTTAACCGATTTAGTGGTAGCATTATGATGAAAATCAATATTCCTCAAACCTCTGATTTTCCCATCTTTTATATAGGTTGGTCAAATTTTCAGTTTTTGCTATTTAAGAAAATGTATGCTGTGAGGAGGCTGAGACAGGAGGCGAGACCCTGTCTCAAAAAAAAAGAAAACAAAAGGAACATGTATACTGTACAAAGGTTCCTTGATTAGAATCTTGAGCTTCTATAAATTGGGTGGAAATATTTTTAATTTATAGTAATACTGTTTTTGTTTTTGTTTCTGTTTTTGTTTTGGGGTTTGTTTTTTGGTTTTTGTTTTTTTTTTTTTTGAGACAGGGTCTCACTATGCAGTTCAGGCTGGCCTTGAGCTCACTTTGTAGCCCAGGCTGGTCTGGAGCTTGCAACGATCCTCCTGCCTCAGCCTCCCCCAGTGCTGGGATTACAGGAGTGCTCCATGACGCTCAGCCTACAGTAATATTTTAATCACTCATTTAATCTTGCTAATTGTCTTCAACAAGATAGGAACAATCCAAGTGAAGTATCCCTAATGTTGCCTGAGCAATGAGATAGCCACGCTGTGTACTGTGTGACCTCAGCTAATTTTAGCAGGCTGAGTGATTAATTATAGAATCTGAATGCTGTAGGTATTCTAATGTCTCGTTTACTGTATATAAGAAATTTTTTTTTATCAAAGAACTTTAATTTCAGTGATTTGAGCCGGGCGTGGTGGCGCACACCTATAATCCCAGCACTAGGGAGGATGAGGCAGGAGGAGTATTGTGAGTTTGAGACCAGCCTGGGCTACAAAGTGAGCTCAAGGCCAGCCTGAACTGCATAGTGAGAGCCTGTCTCAAAAAAAAGAAAAGAAAAATTCAGATTAGAGATCTAGATTAGAGATCTAGAGTAGCTCTGGACCGCTGAGGGTATGAACTGATCTGTGTGTTAGGATACAAAAGAAAATATAGGATCTTTATTTCCTTCCTTTCTTTTTCCCGTTCTTTTAAAAGTAGTTTAAGTTTTGCTAATATGTGAATTGACATTGACACTCAGTTTCTAGATCAGATGAGTTACAGACAGGGACACATTCTGAGGAAAGAGTGGAGTGGAAAGGCCGGAGGGCTAGAGTGGCTCACAGGTTAAACTCTCACTTGTTTACAGTGTGTCGCCACGAACTGCACTCTTCCCTAAGCCAAGTGAGGTAGATGTCCAAGCTGTATAGATGTGCAGGTTGTAGTAGCTCAAAAAATAGGGAGCAGAGATGTGGCTCAGTGATTGTGTGCTTGCCTAGCGTGTGTGCGGCCACAGGCTCGATCTTCAGCACTGCAAAGGGAAGAAAAAAATCTTGCTAAAACTTTGTAACAATAGGAAGAGTAATGTGTACCTCTCTTTCCTTTTTTTTTTTTAACTTTTGTCCTTTTGAGACGGGGTCTTGCGTTCAGGCTGGCCTTGAGCTCACTTTGTAGCCTAGGCTGGTCTCAGACTCCCAATGATCCTCTTACCTCAGCCTCCCAAGTGCTGGGACTACACCCAGCTTATGTGAATCTGTTTTACTTCACAGAAATGGCCAGCCTTAAAGATGAGTTAGACCGTGTTTGAGATTTGCTTTTTGAGATTTTTCCTTTTTAGGAATCACAAGTATGGTACTTGTGATTAGAAAATATTGTACTTAGAAAATATTGTTGCTTTTTTGAAGAAAATTGATACTATAGTATAGGACAGAGCTTGCCACATTCTCTGAAAGGTTCAGATAGCAAAGCCTTCCAGCTTGCAGGCCTGCCAGTCTGTTGGCGCTAACCAGCTCTGCCTTGTAGCGCAAAGCAGCTGTGGGCCATAAATAGGTAAATAAATGGACGCTGGCTGCATTCCAGTAAAACTTTACTTACAGAAACAGCTGCGCTATTGGTTGGTTATAGTTTTCCTTGCCACAGCAAGGGCATTTTATTTATTTATTTATTTATTTAGTGCCAGGAATAGAACTCAGGACCTTGCGCTTACTAGGCAGGTGCTGTGCCACTGGGCTGTATCCCCGGCCCCAGCAAAGGCATTTTAAATGTGTACTTTGCATTATTTTATTTTACCCATGTAAATAAAAATCTGCCCACTTTAATGAATTAGTAGCTGTTTTCTAACTTCTTGAATAAAGAGTTTCAGCTGGTTTAATATAGAAAAACAGAATATCGTATGATTAGCTTGTAAAAGCAGTACTGGATGTCAGAAAATACAAATTTACCAGCTGCATTCAGCAAAAGTCTTCATATAATCGGTGAATGGGAATGAAGACTCATGTCATGGATAGTAAACACAGCACCAGGAACTTCTTTTGTTTGGATGGAGGTATTTTTGTGTGGTAATTTTTGCACCTTTGAGGTCAGTTAAAACCACGTAATAAATACAACCTGGGATCTTTGAATCACTTTTTCACAAAATATTAAACCAAACTTTGAAAAAATAGTGAAGTTTATTTAGTCACATTGTTTTCACTGGCCAGTAGGACCAGTGTTAATTTTCAGTGAATTAAAAGGCTTTTTCTATTGATTACTGAAT